GTGTGGGGGGGGGGAAGAGTAGAGTTCTCTGAGAGACCTTGGTTCGAGAATGCGTATTGTCTAGCGTTCAATCAATTTTCACTCTCAGGTTGGTTCCAGCTGTACGGAAATCCTAATCTGTGGACCGGAAGATTGTCCTAACTTTACGCTACGTGATTCAGGCAACCTTGCTTCATTTTTTAATCCGGTCATTTGTGCGACAATTTATAGTTCAAGTCATCACAAAAAACTTTTTTTTATCGCCTATCATTTTTTTTGGAATCAAATTTCAAGAATCTGTGTTCTTACGGATTGTCTTATTTTAAGCGTCCCTACAGGAAGTGAATTTAAATTTTAAAGTCCCAAACTGCGTTTTTGGTTTGCTCCTTTCGGGTTTGGCAATATGAAACACGACACTTAAATGAAGACCTCTAACTGCTTCACATTATTTTTCACGATGAAGTTGGTCTTATGCAAGGCAAATCTGTGAAGCAATATGCAGCTGTTTCGACTTTGTCGGGTTCGATCAGCCTCTAAAATGCATCCGATTATACCGCTTCTCAATTTGCCTATATAAAGCATAGCCCGATCCATCATTACAAGCTTTTTGCATGCATCACACATCAAACATCCCAGTACTAGCCTCCAGGGTTATGACTCAGCCGGAAACCTTACGAATTTGACCCGAATATTTGTGGCAGGGTTCCTCTTTCAATCTTCAGTTGGGTTGATGGTTTCGCAGTGCTGATGACACCTAACTTGGTCTAAAAAGCTGAAGAGTGATTCCCATATTTTCAGATGATGCTTCTCGTTCCTGCATACATTTCTGCATACAGAAGTAGATTCCTTGCGTACCTTGTCCTTATCATAGTTGATGCCCAGATAGTTGTTACTAGCATCTAAGTTTTGCATTACAACCTTGGATTTAATTTTTTTAAAATGATTTATATATATTCGTATATACAGCGTATCCGTAGTACAAATTTGTAAACTGCTTAATGTTCACCATCTCGGTGTTCCTTCACACAACACATGACTCGTTTGTTCCGTATGCAGAGAAACTAATCAGTAAATCGACCAACCATCTGATTCCTTTTAGCATATTATTCTTGTTAGGACTCCTGTCTACTACCAACCTGTGAGTAGTTTGAATCTGACAACTGAATTTATGGTCCTATTGTGGGCAAATCAGCTTTGTGACAATAGTTTTGTAAATGTCCAGTTTTTTAGAAGTAATCGTTAATGTCACATTTTTCATAATATATGGTTATAAAATTTTTTGTTTTGTTGACTCATATCCTACCAGTAACTGTTTAGAGATCTACAATTGTTGTTTTCGGGGTATCAGAGAGCGGAGTAAACACGATTTTGTGCACGTGAATTTATAAATTTATACGTGTTTAATTCTATACAGAAAAATAGCTGCGTCTCCGAAATTCGCATTATTTTTGCATAATTGTTTGGCTGCGATCGTTAGACTGAGAAAACCACATTTGTCAGAACATTAACCCTTCCTCCTCTCTTGGTTATTCAACGAGTGTTCTTTGGACGTGATTCCAGTCCACTGATGCTAATTGATTCCCGAAAGAAACAGAATCCAATAACCCTCAGAAAAATCGTTTATGTAATGCCAAAGCTTAGAAGATTGTATATCTATATCTTTTTCCCTGCGCTTTCCAATAGAAATGGACTGTAATTGCCCACAAGATGAGGCCACTAAAACATACTCGTTTGACTCCTGTGTTGTTACGCTTTAACTCGAAAAACAAGTAAATCCTTTCAGCAAATCTTTGTAAAAAGATATCTCTAAGAGCTTTCGGGTGCCAAACACTTGCTTAAAATTGGGTAGATCTATTGTTCACACGACTGAAAACCATGCAATTCAGAGCTCCGAATTCAGTTATGATGATGTTACGATAATAAATGGAGCCCACGAATATGAAAAAAGATTGTTGAAATAAAAACTAGTCTGCGAAAGTTTCAATATGGAAAATGGTGTGTAAATTGATTCGATGCGCACTCTGTGGTTTAAAATGTCAAGATGTCCTTTTCACTGGACGTTTTCAACTACGTAATCATGAAATCCGATCCTCTGTTCCGTAAACGACGGATTCGCTTTCACAATCAGAATAAAGCATCCATCACTCATTTACTATTCGTTTTGCTTTTAAAATTGCGGCAGAGAAATTGGTTGAGGAGCCAGCATGTGTTCCACCTGGAAACCCCAACTACAGCAGTGAAAATGGAGGTAAACAATGATTAAAATCTCTCTCTCGCGACCTTAACAGCTTCACTTGTGTTGTTGACGTTTATGTCGGGTTTCAGAGGATCTTATTTGCCCATTTGTCCAACTGTCAGAAGAACCCTTTCGGATTTGAATTAAGAATTTTCCACAAACAGCTCTTGACCAAAGTTTCCAGTTTCAGTGAAGAGACTGATCTCGAAAGATTCGAAATGACTATTCTCCAGATTTCACCGTCAATTATAATCTTCATTTCATCTTGATAAGCATTCATTCGGAAAGCACTAGACTCGAGTTTCTCTCTCCTTAGAGCTTGTCCTTATTGTATATCCGTTCCTATGGTGCCGAATCAGCTATGATCTGCATAGGAATCTTGGTATGTTGGGAGACTGTCTACTGCAATAGACTGAGTAGATAGTGAACCATTATTCCCTGCTGTAACGTTGTACCTAATGATCTGAATGGCCACCCACTGAAGATGATGTATGAACAAACATAATTGACTATTCTGATCAGCCCCGGTGTGAGATGATTGACATAGTGCTGACACAAAAACCTTCTATTCGATCGGTTCAGGGTTCATATATAGTGTACTGGAAAAAAGGGGCTTTTGTGTGAAGACAGAGTTTGAAGGATGTTCAGTAAAATCAGTATACCCCTCCCCACACTGATATTCACAAATAACTGTTATTTTAATGGAGATTCCCAAAGAATTTGAAGAAAATGGCTGTACACATGCAGACAGGTGAACATCTAAGTGCCACAGCATGTTTTGCTTAATTGGTGTTTTCGCATTCACACTGGGTCTGTAGTTTATGTGAGTCAATTCGAATTTGCTTCGAGCTTCTCAAGAAGGGTCACTGTCTCAATGGTGATTCAGACGAACACATTGGTGTGTCCGTTAGTCATATACAGAGCCATTGAAGTAGTCGTCGTACAGCACGTGCGCGTAAAAGTTTTCCTTCCCAAAATTGAACATTCTATGCTCTTCGTTTGAGCAACGTACCGGCTGATTTACTTCGTAATTCCTATGTTCACATCTTAACTGGGAGGTTTTTTTAGTGTTCCGTTCATTCTTTCAAGTTGCTCATTTGTGTGTCAATGTTGAAAACTTAAGACTTGCATGTTCTATGTAAAATCTCCTATTGTTTTATTAAAATTTGCATGCTAAAATCCACAGATAGAGAAGAGTGGGACGTAGCATGGTTTACCAGTCACCTCTGTCTTTCACAGTTGTAATCATCTCCGATGTACTGAAGAGCGATTGGAATATATTGGGATAAGGACTTGAATTTCTTGGACACAGGTAAACAACTGTCTTGGTTTGTAAGCTAAGCAGTGTCTTATTATATAAAGGTTTATTCGTGAAAATTCCCAATTTAATTTTATATTCAACACAAAAAATCATTAACAAATCTGTTACCAGCCCAGTGGACATGTTCCATTGCTGCTCCCAGCATGCGTTCGTGCTAGTTGTGAAATCAGTCCTGGTAACAAGCCTCACTAGGATCAACACAACAGTTAGGAGGGCAGAGAGTTCGGATTTTAACTTACCATAGGGAAAATATCGCTGCAAGCCGAATGAAAAACAGGCGTTTCTGAGACCAACTGAACAGAGTGTAACCGCAACTGACGCAGAATCCTGCCCAAGCAATAAGTTGCAAGCTGACAAAGACGTAGCCAGCTTTGGAGTGATAACGTGACAGCACATCACCCCGTGTCTCCAGCTGCATGTGTGCGGGAAGCGGGTGAAATGAACAATGATGAGCTAGATATGCAAATGATCAGCCATATATAGAATTGTTGACGCATCAGGACCGAAAAAAGAAAATAATCAAATTATTCAGCCTGATTATTGATAGATATGAATAGCGTAGCACGAATATATGATTTGATGCTCATTTCGGCCACAATCCATGATTTTGATTTCTTAATTCTTCACTCTTTATTAATCAAATGCCCTGATTTTGTAAACCTTATTTCGTATTTAACCGCTTACTATCTGGGGGCTGCACTAGTGAATGGAAACATAAGTAATGACAGGTGAAAGGGGTTTTTACGATCCTGCCAGCATCTTTTTATCTTTATTTTTTAACAGTATAAGACCGAAGGTTTTACTAGCACATGATCACTGTTTTGTTTTCGTGTGTTTTTATGATGAGTCTTCGGTTCAACGGATTTCAAGTAATTCAACACTCGGAGTTGATCCGATTCCACCAGACAGTGTGCACAAATTGAAGAAACCATCCATATACATAACTGGGGCAGTGTCCTACTCAACCGAGACAGATGTTGCATCCGGCATTTAGAGATATTCAATACACTAAAACGCTTTGCTTAGAAGCGTGATAGAGAAACGAGTCCGCATGAGTTTTACAATCGACAACATTCGACATGTCATTTCATAAGGTGAATAGGGACGTGTGCACATGACGACGCGCTATGACGACCAATTCGAATTTGCATGGGACAAATGAAATATGCGTTGGGGGTCGACAAACCGGTATTTACACAAAAACACGTGTCACACAGACTGACAGGTAACCATGACAATAAATCAGTACCGGGGTTTGGTCGTGATTCGATCCCAACATATGGCCCGAGGTCACCTAGGTGACCACTATATTGACCGTAAATCGTCATACAATTAACCACGTTGTGCCTAGCTATAACGGATCACTTACACTGGAGATAAATGGCGTGGTTCTGTCAGAGGTCACCGATAGTTTTGCATTGAACTATTCATATTTGTGTATTCTACACAGGAAACCCCAACAAGACCACGGTATTGTGTGTATTCAACAGTTCAGAGTATTCGTCAACCTTATACACAGAGACTGAAATGTAGAAAATAAATAAATAATATAAAGCCCAAGTCGGCTATACTTATTATTATACTTATTTATTTCACAGATATGGTCTCCCATAAACCGATTTCTATCGATCTTCAAGAAAAGCGGGACAAATGTGTCTGAGAGAGAGTCCTAATGTCAATACAGCGTTCCTCTTGTACTTCTATCGGAAACCGATTAAAAAACGATCGAGTCTGGATAGGAAGTCCCAAACCCAGATATCCATAATCCATCATTCAAGCAAATCGGTGTCAGGAGATTTTCATGAGATGACAAAGTGATAAGCCCCAGTTCCCGATATATTAGAAATCAGCTCAAATAGACGGTAAAGTTATCATTCATAATTCTTCAAAAAAAACTTACTTGATTCATTTACATAAGTGAGCAACAGTTTTTATGTATTCGCGGGGTTTCTGATCCAAACGAAACAAAAAATTCACGTCGTTCTAGGAAGCACGTCGATCAAGTTAACCAGAAACCTCTTGGTTATGTTCCCTTTGCTCCGTATAAACCTTGTGCAGTGCTGCCAAGATTTATTGCACTCGTCCCGAAGATTTGTGTTCGTATTCGCTCCGATCAGTATAAATAAACACACGCACACCGGCGATTTTCTCTTTACCTCAAGTCATTCACATAACTTGAGGATTTTTCCACCTCGTTTACACATCTGACAATAGTCTTGCCAATGCGATGGGTTTGGTGGGTTGTTTCATCTATTGTGTAGACATCAAGTGAGCTACTGCATGCCAGTTTGGACAGTCTGAGCAATTAGTATGTGAGATGAACACCTCCTCTCGGTTCAAATCTCAGTAAATTTACGGTATATGCACCGCTTGAGAAGCTTAAAGTGCTGCGAATTTGCTTCAGTGATGCATGTACTATGTTAATCCTGTGTGAAGAAGCTTTGCATCAAAATTCGTTGGCGCACCATTTTGAATAGTTTTTTACTCCTCATTTTCCGATACAGTAAAAAGGTATATATTAAGGACAGGCAAGGTGCCAACGTCACAACAATAATAACAATAAAAATAACTGAAGGTGGGATTGGGATACATACAAGACATAGGAAAAAAGACGAAACTATTGAAATGGAAATTTACGAATAAATGGGATAACAATTTATTTCGTATGTTTCACCGGACACTTTTTGAAATTTTTGTGTGTCTTAGTTTATCCTTTTTTATGGGCACGGGATTTAAACAGGTAAGCCATACAGCATTCGCGCCACTGACTTCTATTCTGGGCCATATCTATTAGTGTCTCTAACCAATCCCTTGGGCCCCAACCTGGAAGGCGGACTGCACCAACCGAAGCCAAAGCTCAAGCCAGTTTCTTCATACCTCTACGCCATGTCATGGTCTGACAGCCGCGGCTCTCTTTTCAGCCTTGCCCGGCACTTGCGAAGAAAACACGGAAAGCTAGTCGATGGGCAGGCATACGCAATACGTGACCAAGCCATCAGAGGCGGTTTAAAGCGATCACATCTGTTACAGAACGACTATCCACACCCAACACATGACGAAGGACCTCGTCATTGCTTACCCGATGTTCCTGCCAGACACGAGCAATGATTCGGAGATATCGGTGGTCGAATACAGAAAGTCGATTAGCGGAGAGACCAGGTCTCGTAACCATAAAGCAAAACGCTACGAATCGCGGCTATATGCACCCTTCCCTTAAGAGACGGTCGGATGTCATGGCGGCGCCACAGGTGTCGCAGGTTGACGAAAGCTGCTATAGCTTTCGCTCTTCGTGATGTGATCTCCTCTCCAACACCATCAACAGCTTCGATCACGCTCCTGAGGTACTTAAAGCTCTCAGCTACTTCCAGCTGTCTCGGAATTTAGCTCACTATTGTTACTAATACCCAGAAAAATTCAAAAATGAATCGAAAGCTCCGTCAGTACTAACTTGCTTTCCATCGCCATTATCCAGGCAAGTACTGTAGCCTCTGTCAAGCAAGATTTGGCCTACTTTGAAAGCAGTTTTCTCCCAGTGGCAGCTTTTTTGCATCTCGAACAGCTCTGACTATCATTTGGAAATTTGCGACTGGTGCTGTTTCGCGAGTACTATGTTATGTATTGTGGTTTGNTGGTTTGGCGTGTGACGAGCTTGGCAACTTGCCGTTCCGTTTGAGTGTGAGTCATGTTCATGTCTCACTACAACTGCTGGCTCGTGGTGTTTTCATTTTCCTTCCTTGCAGGTGGTCAGTCAACCTTCTCTTCGGAGAACCTCCCGTCCATCGACAATTCCAGCAGTACATTCGACTGTCTGGTTTATCCGTTCACCGGGGATATCCTGCTGTACACACGAGCCCAAACATATTACAGATGCACTTAAGTAGACAGATTTTCAAGAAGATTAACTGTTTGGTTAAGGCAAACTGCAAGTTGAGTTCTGTAACTCCATGGTAGTGGTTGTAGTGGAAGGTTGGGGGTAATCAAGGGGTTTCAGTTTAAGCCACTGGTGTGTTTTGGGTACTAGGGTTTGACGTCGGAATAGCATCACAAACATCCAACTGTGGTGGTAGGCAGCTTCGTTGTCGTTCGGCTAAGCCATCCTGAAACAATGCACACATATTGTGATGCTGTCATGTTTGCGCAAGGCTTTTCCAACCGCGGAGCAAACTGCTTTAGTTTCGGTAATGAGTACATTGCCCTTCTCACGTTTAGTGTGGTTTCCTTAATTCCTAGTCTTATTTTTTCAAACTGTGGGTTAAAAAAGTGTGGCCGTATAATTTGTAACTGTATCCTTTCGTCACATTATTCAGATATCTGCAACACAATATGCCCGTCCTATTGGGAAACAAGAAAAGTACACTCATATAAAGAATCTTGTGACCCGAGTTGTGCTACGGAAATCCCTCATTTAGTTTTACCCGTCAAGTTATCCCATTCAGATGGTTATGATCTACAACGATAGCAGTCAGCTGATGGCTGGATGCAAATAGTACCCCTGATTTTGTGTACGGGTGTGTGTACATACTCAACATGCAACCATCCAAACAATGATTAACAAAAAACGCTTTGTTTCTGCAATTACTTTGCTCAATTTGCATAAGGTTTGTGGATCAATGAATTGCAGATCACTGATGACAGGCACACTTGATGTGACTACCAATGAATCTGAAAAATGATGGTACTTTTTCTCTCATTGATTATCCTCCCGTTTGATCCTATTTTCGATTAAAAATGCGCATCGGAAAAGGGAACCACTCTTGATCGGCCCGAAGCGCTATTTTTTGTGTTCAGTCATCTATTCCGCGACTCGAAAAGGTTTTATCTGTGATATTGTTATGCAGTGCCTCAATTTTGTCCATTATCTTTCGGCCTCTTGTTGGGAAAATCGTTAAAAAACCAACCGAATGGGCAATATAAACATTTTTTTGGTAAATATGAGGAAACGATGATTCTGAGGAATTGCTTTCGAGTAAATCCGTGTCATAATTACCAAATTTCATATGATTTAGGCTACATGTAGTGCACAAAACAACTTTGTTTCATATGCAATTCAATTGGTCATTTAGTTTAAATTCAACCTCCTTGTTCCACCCCAATCACGACTTTATCCAACCTCCTAATTCTCCCTTTCGTATATTTTAAACGCCAGAATAGTTTTTACTCTTTCATAATCTATTATGCCTAAATCTGCATTATATTTCGTGCTTTCCATTTCGAATGCGCTTAAATTGGGCTGTACCCAACTGTGTCTTCATTCGTCATGGCTTTCGCTCTCATCCGATTCCGTCGAGCAAAACATTCACGACGATTATTCCAACACTCACTCGGATTCTCTATTGACCTGCTGGCACAAATCACAAACCTCACTGCTTGAGCACTCGGGGGCAATCCGACACATCCTAGGAAACTGATTTCTTTTCTTTTCACTAACTTATTTCGCGTCCGGTAAACGGTGTAAAAAAAATAGTCTTTTGCAACGTGAGACACCTACTTCCCGTAAAATTCGTAGTACTAGGTCTATGAATGGAGGTGGCATGAAATTCAACGATTTAGTTGACAATAATCTAAACGACATCGTCCGCTGATCATTATCCTACCCAGCCACCAAAGCACCTGTTGGCTTTCACTCATATCATTTACAAATTTTCCCTCCTTTTGGTGGCCGCTGGCTGTATTTTAGCATTTATGGTCTGGGGAGAATAAGGACACCTTTCCAGCAAACCCAGACTGCATAAGGTCTTATCACATTTGAAGTCTTGACCCAGCCGTGTGGTCTGTTGAGCCATGTGAAGATTTCCCACTCGCATGTAAAAAGGAGCAGAAGAAGAAAATGTCACGTCCTTTTCAATGTAGATCTAAACGATTTCCCGTGGGTTCAAGAAAAGCAAGTCGTGCTTGTCAAACGCAGTACACGGAATCGGTAAGATCCAATGAACTGCCTGTCAGTATGTCCATGTTCTTTAATGATTCAATCTTTTAGAATTAGTTGAACCTGATTTGAATGCTCACTCTATCGGATTGCAAGATTTGCAATAAGATGGAAGATAGGGGAAAGCAAGCCCAATCACCGGTATTGTTTTCTCCGCTTTTCAGCAGACTGAGGCTTAGTTGAACTAGAATACCTCTTAGATATTTAGCTGCTCAGTCGCCACTTTTAAAGAATAATCTTTAAGAAATCTTTTATGGGATTAATGTTCTTTCCAAGATGATGAAACATAATTTTGAAGGTGTGGCTGAACCGTTCACTGAACAATTCTTCTACAGGTTCCACCACCGATAGTAATAGGCTTCCGTTGCAAATTCGTACTCATTGAATTCCTCAAGTGAATAGTCTAAATATTCACCAATAATAATCACAGGAGATCCATGGATGAAACGGATGTCACCGAAAAACTTGGGAGTTGTGCTCATGATTATTGAGGAAGTTAGCTTTTCTTACCCACGACGAACGAAAAAACCGAAACACAAGGCATTGATGACAATTTTTCGACCCTCTCGGAAGGCCTTTTTCAAATCGTTTAATCGGTTATTCTCAAGTCTTAATCATAAGGCAGTGGGATGATGACATCCTATAGAACTCGGATGAGTTGAGCATCTAAACCAAATTATTCCCCGAATATTAGAGACCAGATGAGGCACACTTTTTAATTTTTTCTCTTTCATGAACCAAATGATACAGAAAATCGTTTGATCCCGGGAATTTCATCAGTTCAAACCCGACCAAGTGTGTTCAGTGACTTACCAATACCATGGAAATCTGTGTTGCAGCGTTGACCAGTATGTAGGTACCAAGGAAGATGTAGAGAACAATGACGAGCGTGCGGGACAGAAGCCGATGCACGACTGTGTAGCCGCTGCTTAACAACAACAGACCGGAAAACAGTGCGCTTGTGGATGTGCTATACAGCAATTGAGCTATAGGGGTTTAGATAAGGTCAAGTAAAGGGAACTGGTTGTAGATAAGTGACCTGTCTTATGGGTCATGCTATAAATCTGATCATAAAATTGACGGTAAAGAATGCCTGACTGTAAGAGAAACGCTTTCTGAAAAACACCAATGGTCGAAAGTTAGTTTTCATTTTGTAGGTTCTTCGACACTTATTTATATATTTTAGCTTTATCAGTCTGAATAAATGTTTTTCTAAAAAATATATTTTATTGCTGAGTAAATATCCATTTATTGAGACGTCAAAAATTCCGGAAAATGCTTCTTCATCTGTTGGTATCACATTCACTGACTTGAACAAACCGAACAGCTTCTGATAATTTGGTCATACCCCGAGAACTGAGGGTGTCAGTTCAGCTAGTGTTGACAGGTCTAAGAGCGGACTGCTCTGCTTGGTACACCGGCAAAAAACAGCCAGCTTGTTCACTTCATCCTCCAACTTGGTTCAGTGGAGAGAGAAGACGGGGTTTAGTTCACGATCAAGACAATCTACTGTACAATCACTAGAATAGTAACTCTAGTTTCAGCTGTCTACGTCAGAACTGATTTCATTATTAATGGGAATAACTACTATTTTAAGACCGATGATTGCCCTGCTTACCATCACAAGTAATTCTGAAATTTATGATAAAACGAGTGATCTTGCTGCAATGTACTTACTCGGACTTCATTAAGTAAGGAAAAGTGGAATAAAACTATTATGCAGAGAACACTAATTGAGAAAATGAAACAATCGAAGAGATGAATAAAGTAGCGTGATCACTGAAGTAAGTAAACAAAACTTCAATTATCTATTTAACAGCTCCCAGTAAAATCTTCACAACAAAAGACTGTAAAAGTAATCGTGACGTTAGCATTAAAGATTCTTACTATTTCGAAGCAAAATGGTTGAAAGATCTTTCAAGGCTTGGATAAGTTTGAGTTCCTTCATTTAAAACCAAATCATCAACCACTTGCTCTCATTTCAATGTAAACTAAGAAAAGAAGATATATTTTCATTATATATATATATAAGATACTGCGCAGTTTAAGTCAATTTAACCCGTGGAAAAAGATTGATTGCTTACAGTTTATTTTAAGACAAATTTGTGCAAACTCTTCGTCAAAATGTGGTCTAGATCAAACACATTATGAAATTACAAAAACGGAGCAACGGAATGGAATTATTTCAAATAAAAGCACTGTTCTTTCTCTGTAACCTAAAACATCTTTGTCATGGAATATTCAGTTACGACATCCTAAATTTACAAAACACAATTGAGGGAGCAATAAATCCAGATAAACTTACTCAAAATCAGGAATACCAAGCTGCGCGCACCCGTTGCGGCGAAGTGAAACTCAAGAACACAGCGTAGCAGGTGGGCAGCACACCGGACAGCAATAGAGAAAAGCCATATAAGTACAGTTGGGTGCACCTGGTGTGCTTTTCTTAGTTTGTCTACAAATAGTGAAGATACGCAAAAATATTCATAGAAGAAAACAGGATACTTAAGCTTTGCACTTAATTAGTAGATGTTGTTCTCAAAAGTTTTAAATACGATCGGGCATTCTGACCTGAGAGTAAATATACGTCTCCAAACACGAAGTTTTACTCCGAAAAAATGTTTTCATTCAAATGGGCTTTAATAACACGGTATCACAATAGTGCCAAAGTGGAACAAATGAAATGTCGTAACATTCTCAAACTCCCAATGTACGACAAAAAGGCTCAAGCGGATTAATGGAATTTAGAAACTGTATTTGGTTTTCTTACTTTTGTTTGTTTCATTTTGTGTTTGTGGCATAATCAGTTATGTATGAGACATTTTATCTCTAAAATGAACCCTTTCGGAACCAAGCAAATGTTTTCAATCCATGAGGTTGGTAACTTTTGAGAAGTTGCACAACACGTGATTAAAACACAAATACAGGTCTTCAGGATGCATTTTGATTCCTACTGCTTTATGTGAGGGCACTAATGTTTATCAGGTTTTTTACTAATTCGCAAAAATGAACTTTTTTTAAGAGAATAAATGTTTTATTAAGAGACATCTTGTTATTCGTTTTCCGTATTGCTAGCCTCCGTATATTGTTCCTCTCTATTTTTACTTTTCCATTCAGAATTGGAGTGCAATTTGGTGTGATAGAAGTACCCGTTCAAGTGGAATTCTCAAAGTGATCTTGATACATTCAATTATCTCTTCTTTGTGGTTGTCACCTTCTTTGGCTAAAATATCTCAATTGTCCATGCAGATGGTGGTATTTTGTTTGACATTTAATTTGTAGATGACAAGAAGAAGAACATCATCAGAGCACTGCCAACAGTGCATGGACACGGATCATATCGTTTTGGCAGCCCTCAAACGTTACTCACGATTAAAAGGCCCGGTGAGTAACGGCTAGAACGGATCACCTCTTCTTACTGTTTATTGGGGTCTGTGAGTTGGTTTCCGCTGATTTAAACGTTTTAGTGACAACATTAAACAAATTTAACCCGTTTTTTCCCACAACCTTGAATTCTATATTATGTATACACTTACCACCGGCTTGTAGACAAGCATGGTGCTAACGCAACAACACTAATAACAATAACAATAAAAGGGGACAGGTGGATTGAGATACAAAACTGAAATCCGGAACATCCATTCATCCTCCTTTTGAATCTCCCCTGAAGTAGCTAGATGATATTAAAATATTTACTTAAGCCTACTCCAATACCGCTTTTTAAACCTGGTATAAACGACATTTTCTGACGATATTTAGTTGAATAATTTGATGCCTGTGCTATTTTAAATTATTTTCTGTCAAGAAAGAAGAGCAAAAGAAGCAGCTTAAACCACAAAATGCGTTTTATTGGAGGGTATGAAGGCTCTCTAAGAGTAGAATCTAGAAAACGAAGAGCATGTATCGCTTACATATCAGAGATGTTTTGATATTCGTCAATAATCCTATCATTTCATAGTTATTTGATGATATAAAACAAGTACACCAAAATGCTGGAGGATTATTTTACGAAGCTTTATGTCACACTGGTTGTTATCAAACTTTGTTTTACATCATAAATTATTCAACCAAACTATGAAAGATACAAGTAGAGGATATCTTCTAGAAGGCCACAATAAACTTCTGGAACCGCGAAAAAAGTATTCATCAAAATCAACCCAACAAACAGCTTCAGAGAATAACTAAATTATTCAGTACATAATGTGATAAAATATGTTTTTTCGTCACAATGTGGAAACATTTAGTAATTATTTGCTAAAATTAATCGAACTTTGAGATTATTAGTAGACCATATGCTTTAAACAAAAAATGAATGTAAAAGCTATTGACTTACAGGCAATAATTACTGCAAAAAACAGTAGTACGGAAACAAATAAAAAGAACACCATGTCCATCTCCAGATTTCCTGAAAGATAAAATATTAGAAAGAATAAAACATATTATTTTCAGGCTAAATAAATACATTTAATTTGTAACTTGGGAAGTTACTTCCGTTGTATAGCGCCAATAGCATTATGATCTTATGACAGAAAAATATGAATAGCAACCTTTTGTTCAATAAATAATTCTGCAGAAACAATGGTTTAATCTATTGAAATTTAAACTGTGATGCATGCCTTTTATATAATATTATAACGAACAGATTTACTTTTATTATTTGCCATTGATGAATAAAACCCCTTGAACTCTAATGAACTTCTTTCGAATAAACCTTTCCTTTGTCACTTACCAAATTTCTCGGCTGAGAAGTGCTCCCGGAAAAAGTCCCCCGATAATCCATTACGAAGCGTGATTTGATAAGCCATTTCCACTCCACTGAGTACCGGAGTTCGCATTATTACAGGGGATGGTGTCTAAGGAATATAAAAATGGTAGGTCAGTTTCAAATTACAAGATTCAACGGCAATGTCTGAATCTAGGTAAACTTACGGTG